TGCTGCATGGAGTATTTCCGCTGCGTGAAATTAAAAAAAGGTAGAGTGGGCTGATCGTGAAATAAAAATTATTGTCGTCGGCAACATGTGGTCACGAAGTTGTAGTTAATTGACACCAATTGTCCGTTGTGTCGTAGGAAGGAGCGCGTCTGGTGACACAACAATTTTTTATGGTGTGATACTGTTTGCACTGGTTGTTCGATAAGAGTTTGGAGTGCAAATGAGTCCTGTGAGCTGGGCCCGCGTAACAGTGGTTGGAGCGCGGGCAAAGTCAGCCGAGCGCCATCTCACGCCAATAGGGTATTGGCCTAGAGCGCTAAACGGAAGTAGAAGAACGAAGACGGAAGGGGGAAAGGCGCCCGCGCCGTCCCCCCCCTCCTCCACTGGGCGGAGTGGGAGTGCGCCCGGGGAGAAGTGGGAGGCAGGCGGGGGGAAATGCGGGCGCCTCTTCACCTTCCGCTTTTGTTCTTCTATTTCCGCTCAGCTCTCTAGACCAATACCCGATACGCCGACAGGCGAGGCCCGACCACTCCCGTCTCGTTCGTTTGGATTCGTTCAGGTGCGGGTTTGGGAGTAAGCTATGCAATTCTAAATGTTTCAAATTATATTGGAGACATCGTAGAGTCTTCCATTGACTATCCTATCATATCCCGGAGACAATACATAGAGGTGCAGCTGCTTTGCCAATAGGTGGCGCTTCGGCATCTAGATACGAGAGTCTTGGGCGGGCGGACCTGACAACCACAGTATTATGAGACCGTGCGTCTGACTCCTATTATGCCTTCTATCCTAGTAACATTACAATTTCGAACGACTGTCGATCGGCTATCAGCTCCTCTTGCCAAGTTAACGTCACGAAATCGACGTCTACTATCGATCGACATAGCATTCGAAAAAATTAAAAAAAAACAACAGTTGAATTCAACACAATATCGACACTGGTATCCTGACGACAAAAAAACAAAACAAATAGATATCTGTCTTAAGATTCCTAGGAATGTTGAAAACACAATAGTATTTTCGGTGAATTAAGACTATTGGTTGTATATGTACTACGTGGTCGCGTGATGTTTGGTCGCTTTTGGGGAGGGGGTATAGGGAGGCGTCTTGTGAGCCCTGGGGATGGGGCACCTGGTCGCCTGTTGGGGAGGAGGTATGGGGTGGCGGCCTGTGGGCCGTCTGGTAGCATGTTCTGGAGGGGGTGGAGGGCAGAGGTGTTCCCAAAAAACGTCGTTGACTTTGGCTGGAATCGAAACCGGTGTCTTTGGGTTACGGGGAGTGCCTCTTAACCCCTACACTACCTGAGCGGCTGTAAGGGGGAGGCATGCTGTCGCGATGTGATGCAGCTGCGGGCGGTGTAGCGCGCTCTTCGGGTCGGCTCGGCTAGACGCGGCATGGGCGAACGTGTTGGCGGGTCGTTTCCAGGGGGGTATCCAGCGACTTACAACCTACAACCTAACCGAGGTCCCTCATTAGTCAATTCGCCCAAAACAAATGACTCGCGGGGCGAATTGGCCAATCAGGGACCTCCATTCGGTTGTAGGTTGTATGTCGCTGGATACAACCCAGGCCCCTAACGCGTGTATAGGACGTGCGCGGCTCGGCATGGGACGGTCTTGTTGGCGCGGGAGGGAGCGCCACGTTTGAATCCCAGAGTCACGTGGGTGCGCGGCTCATCATGGATCGGTCACGCAGGGCGGAGGCAGCGGAGAGTCATGGAGGCCTCGGCAATGGAGAAGAGCCGATGGACTAACGAGCATCGTTCGTTTGAATCATGGTGGTGGGAGTGTGGTCTTATCCAGTGTCGACGCGAGGTTGTGCAATTCATTTCAGCGGGTTACGCGGGATGTCAAACGACTTGGCTGTTCGCCCTCTGATGTTCCCGCTTCCTGCGTCAGGGGGAGAAGAATAAGAGCACCAGGCAAATGAGGGGGAGCTTGAGCGACCCTGCACACAACCATTATGAGACATTGGAAAGCAGAGAGACGTCGTTTAAAAATTGGAAGAGTGACGTCTGTGCAAAACAATTGGCCGACGCAGGATTTTTCTACACTCAATTGGGTGATAAAGTTTTTTGCTATATGTGCGGAGGTGGTCTTAAGGATTGGAAAAGGGTTGATGACGCATGGGTTGAACATGCGTTGTACTTTTTAAAGTGTGCATTCATGAAGGAGAGGAAGGGTGCCGATCATTTACGCAGCGTGAAGGGCGTGAGACCAGCCACGATGACACTCGAGGTACGTTTCTTTTCGTCTTTGGTTTTTTTTTAAATGAAAGAACGTGTGTAAATTATTGTGATGTATTTTGTTTTCCCTTTTAGGAAATTCGTGCCGTGGCACTTAAGGGTGTCAGCGAGTGCGTGCCCAAAGAAAAGACTGACGTCTCAATGAAGTCGGATAAAAAGGACAGCTGTGATGACGTTATGAAGAGTAAAATACGTTCTGCTGATGATCTTAGCGGTGTGTTTTTACCGTGTAGACATCTCGTTTCTTTTTCATGTGATGTAAAGCAATGTTTTGTATGTCGCGATGAGATCATTTCGGTTGTGCATGTGTATGTGTCTTAAGGAAATAAAGAAAAGAGAAATAATTTGGTATAGCGTTATAATTATTTTATAGAACGCTTGCTACATTTTTGTATATTCCCTTTTACAATAACATCGTCACACAGTTTCACA